GCGTGTGTGTGCGTGTGTGTGTGTGTGTGTGTGTGTGTGTGTGTGTGTGTGTGTGTGTGTGTGTGTGTGTGTGTGTGGTGTGTGTGTGTGTGTGTGTGTGTGTGTGTGTGTGTGTGTGTGTGTGTGTGTGTGTGTGTGTGTGTGTGTGTGTGTGTGTGTGTGTGTGTGTGTGTGTGTGTGTGTGTGTGTGTGTGTGTGTGTGTGTGCGTGTGTGTGTGTGAGCAAATGCATGTTTATATGCATGGGTGAAAATATATGCACAATTTCATAAGTCAGTGTTTCAATTCGTCTTCTGTATATGTAAATACATGGACTTCTACAGAAGTGTATAAATATAAGTAAGCATGACCAAGCATATGTTAAAAAGACATAGCAGGGTTCATTCTAATTCATGAGAAAAGTCTTTCATCAATCCCATGGTTAGTCAAGTTGACAAAGGGAAGTCAACAATAGAATTCAACTAAGGTGAATACATCAATCAGTCTTACCATCAGCTACCACTTGCTCGGCCTTCTCTTCATCTAAGGGAATAAGTTGGGGGCAAATAAAGCAGTCAAAATCTAAGGTGGGAAATTGCACTGTACTGGCCTGACAACATCATTAAAATACATCATGACTGCTATTTTGGTATTAATCATGTAATATAATAAATAAATAAATAAATATATAGATAAATAAACAAACAAACAAACAAGTAAAATAAACAAACAAACAAACAAGTAAATAAAAGGCTAAAACACTACTCTTTAATATGAAGTATTTTTGTCGATTACCAAAACATGACCACTCTTTAAAGGCTGATGCTAATAAATTACACTGAAGAGATATTGAAATATTTTTTAAAAATGACTAGTTATTCTAAGTTCTACAGGATATTACACCTTTCTCTCTATTTACTAGCATATGCAACCATCTCCTCTCATAAATAAAAATGAGTATCCCTTATGTACTACTGAATTATTAAACTACTTGTTTATTGTCACCCTCCTATTTAGCCCCATAGTTCCCAAGTTTTGCATTCACAACCCCTTTTCAATCCTCCAATGCTTTCATGACCCTCAGATACGTCTTCCTCTTGAAATCCACATTTGTTCTAAATTATTTTTATTCTCTTCCATGCAAACTGATTATAATACTTTCTTCTCAATCCAACAAATATACATTCTTTTGTTTTGTACTTCAAATGTCTAAGTAAGATGGAGGCATTCTTTGTTTTATAGCATGATGTATCATGCTGTAACATAATTTTGCATAATCTAAAAGCTAAATAACTAGACCAAGACAACCACGATAGATTTATACATAGAACGAGATACAAGAGCAGTAAACAGCAATGATATTAACCCGTTGCCCCTGGGTGGCACGTACGTACATGCCATGGCTGTTTTGGACCGAACGCCGGGGGCATCATGTCATGCCCATTCCCACGCTACTGGCTCGTCGGACGGAGGCTGTTTTTCTCCGATAGTAGCGGCTTCATTTATATGGTAAAGATTTTAAGCAATGGCACCAATAATGAAGGTAAACCTTCAAAATTTTAATATTTTTATAAATTTTAGCAAAATAAATGCTTTTAGGTGCTCTATGTCGCTCGCAAACTACCGATCGAGCCGGGCGCAAACAGGGGAAACTGGTGGTGCGCGCCAACAAGCCCGTGCATACGTCAACTTGCCAAAATTTTTACCCGTCAGCGATGGGTTAAACCATGCAACTTAGAAATAAAAATCTAATCACAATGAACCATTTAATGTTCTTCATTCTTGCATAACTCAAGTCATAAAAATGACTAAACCCACCTGCAATGACTTGGCCAGGAGGCGGAGGCATGTGACCCCGAGAATGTGGAGGTGGTGGCGGTGGAGCAGAGACTGGAGGAGGAGGAGGTGGAGCATGGTTGTTTGTGCGTGGAGGAGGAGGAGGAGGTGCAGCTCGAGACCCACTGAAGGAATTGCGTGAGGGGATGCTGGGTGGTGGTGTGGGAGGAGATAAAGTGTTGGCAGGTGGAGGTGGCATGTGTGACACTTCTGGGGCACCAGGGGGATTCGGTGAGGTCGAGTAGCGCTGAGTCTCTTGCATAGCTTTTTCAACACCTCCATGACGTTCAATGAAGTCGTAAATGAATTCTCGAGTGCGTGTGTCTGATAAGTGCTGCTGGCTCACACCAACCTGTAAAATATGCAAAGTATTATTTCAGCTCAAGTAATATTACTAAGAACAGAACATACAAATTTTAAGTCCATGAAAGTTATACATGAATTGTGTTTTCATCTGAAAGGTATTCAAGATAGCCAAATATTTCAAGGTTATAAGAGAAATCTAAGACAACCACAAAAAAAAAAAAAAAAAATTATTCACAGACCATATTAAAGAAGCCCTGAAGCTTTTCATCCATATTGAACTGTGAAAATCCTTTATCAGGATCAAAACCAACATGGGTGATGTGCTTAAAGTCCGTTGGCATTCCAATCTGCTCTTTGCTGTTGACATTGGAAAATATTAAAATAGAAAACTTCATTATAATTAGAAAAAATGTTAATGATATCATAATTTAAAGAAATATATTAATAACAATCTCTATTTGTAAATGCATCACACATATGGCACATCAAATAATTTAATAATCCCCATATGCACTACAATTACTCCAATGACACACACCTAATCTTGTTCTTATTCTTATTGGCCTTCTTGCCACTCCTTTTCTTGTTGTCATCTTTGGGAGGTAAGGCTGGAGGGGCATGCACCGGTGTTTGTTGTGGCTGAGAGGGGATTGTGGGTTGTGGGTGCAGTGACTGCCTCTGCTGCTGGTCACTCTGTCTTCTCCTTTCTGAAATGGCAGTAGTGCTGAAAACGTCTAACCTATTGCAACAAATTTTTAATGTGTGCTTTCGGTTTGTTTCCCTAAGCAGATGGTAAAGAATTGATATGCACTGTGCCACTATAAAATATATGAGACTTACCCTCTCTCCTGCGTTGTTTTACAGCAAGCCGTTCATTGATGGCTCGACTGAAGGCATTTGCTTCACCTTCATCAGCAAAGTTTAATCCTATCATCTGGTCCTATTTGAAGAGATAGATATTCAATTACAATTATAGCTTTTGATGTATAAACTTTACATCTTAAATCTTACAATACAAATTGAATTCTTAAAAGCGACTAACAAAAATATAATCCTAAGGATACAAAAATAATCAAATACTCTACTGACCCTAGATAAGTCTTGCTGTGAAGAAAATTCTTTGTTTACAAGTCCCAATCTCATGTTTGTTTGTAACTGCGTGAATCCCACTAAGGGAATGCTTCTCTCCCTCAGATCTCTTCTTATAATGGAAGTCCCAAGTCTGGACAGCCTTCCTAAACTTTGCGCAAAAAGTTGGACTAATAATGGGATATCATTCATTTCTCCATCCCATTCAACTTGAATGTTTCCAGACCTGGCTATGTTTCCACCACCTCTATTTTGTCCAACTGTTATGTTCAATCCATCAACATCATCAACTCCAAAATGGTTATCCACAAAGCACAAAATAGTGTCGCTCAGACTGCGACTCCTTCTGTATGGGTTAGCCTTCTCATGAGGAACTTTTTGGCTAGTTTCTTCCAAATTCTCCATCATGTAGATTCCACAAAGTGCTCCAACAATTACTACAGTCCTTTTCTGACATTAATACAACACAAGGCAGAATATGTGCCTTATGAATAATATGATTATGAAAAAGTGACTCAACTAGGCTCAATGGTGACAGCAGTATCTTTTTGTGGCCCTTTATCTTATCAAAAACAATACAACAGTCAGAAAATATGGACATAATAAATATTATTCTTCATTTTCAAAGATAAGCACAAATTATCAAACTGAATCAACACAAAGAAAGAGGCTGAACCAGTACAGAAATCATACTATCAGTACTAATGTAAATATATATGTACAGTGATTTTCATAAAGGTTATTTTTATTTATTTACAGCAAGATCTCAATCAACAAACCTTTTAATGATGCAGGTGACATTAGGTAAGTGAACCATAATCATTATTGCTCTTTTACATTGCAGTCAAACCAATCAAATTTCTAATCTATATCAAACTAATATAAAACGAGAGTGAATCTAGCAACACTGCCTCATAAATAAACAGAATCCAAATAGGATGAAGGTTGTTTAAGGAAGAGAAATTTCTTATTTAGGCAGAAATACATCTATCTAACTAAAGTAGAATACAAAACACAAAAATCATTTACAAAACATTTATCCTAAACACTGGTGAAGGTAACTGTAAAAACCTAAGTAGGTACCTGCTACCACATTATTACCTGCTTTACCCTTTCTATTTAACACACAAACCTAAATACCATTACCATTTGTATTTCAAAATTCATATATCGAACACTAGTAAGATCAATTGCTTGGTAAATTTACATACTCCTTTCCACATTCTATAGGTTGGATAAAAACATGTTTTTCTGACACCACAGACCTACAAAGAGAGAGAGACCAACTGTCTTTTCAAGGTTCACAGTCTGTGCCCTAGTTTCCTCACACAAATACTACACCATTATAACACCTGCTGAGTATAAGAGCATTTGTTTATCAATTCATTATCAAGTGAAAGACATCAGCACTGATCTTGACCTGGATCATAATGGATAACCTTGTCACTCACTTTTGTTGGACACTGTCTGAATTCTCCAAAAACTTCTCAAACTTTTTCCTTTTCTAAAGGCTAGGGTATATAATGCTGAATATAGTACTTACTTTGAAAAATTCAATTGCATTTCTTTCTCCTTCTGCTATCAAAAATATATGATGAGATGACATGAGGAGGTTCAGAAGAAGAGATACACACACTTCTTTGTACAAGTTTAGCAGAAATTTTCCTAAGATTTCAGTCTTAGCTTTGAAGACACTGTAACATTATATCTAACCAAAAAAGAAATCAAAACATGCCCACAAAACATGAAAAGAGACCAAAAATCTGTGACAGCCAAGCAAAAAAAAAGATC